CATCAAACATCTAATTAAAATTTTAATTGAGAATAGAATTTATAAATTTAAAATTTAATTCTTCTCCAAATAGGTTGCACCATAAACTTTTCATGTTGAATCAATATTAAATTCAAGTCACAAAATCTAATATATCTTATAGGTTCAGGTCAAATTATCATCTATACATTATAATGTAATTTGAAACATTGAATGTTTGAAAGTTGAACTTGAACTTAAATTATATACTTGATTGGACTCATATTTAACTCAATCCGAATTGACCCAAAAAGTCTAAAGATTGACTTAAACTGAAACTTATCAATCCGATATTGACTTGATTCAAAAATTGAATGATTTAATATTGACCCGACCTAAAATAAACCAATTTGGCATTGACCCGACCCAAAAACCAACTAATCCGATATTGACCCAACCTGACAACCAACCGTATCTGATTTTAACTTGACCTGATCCGACTCACCATAAACTCAAATAAAAATCAAAACCAAAATACCCCGACCCAACCTAGGCTTGACCCGAATTAAATCTCAAACCAAAATAATCTGACCTGAAATGACCCGACTCGAACCCGATCCCGATCCAAATGACTTGTTTGCCACCTCTAATCTTAATAGATCATTGGCTAAGAACTGAAATATGAGAAACATATTATAGTTTTAAAATTTTGCTTATAAAATTTAAAGTTTTTGACAATATCTTTTTAAAAATAGAGTAAAGTACACACATGGTCCCTTAATTTTAAGGCGTTACTTTCTTGAGTCCTCCAACTATTAAAAATTACAAAATGATCATCTGACTATTTATATGTTCCAAATTCATCCTTTTTCGTTAAAAAATTGATGGGCATCTATGTTTAATGTTGATTTATTGATCGAGATATGATAAAATATGATTATAGAATCGTTTGAGTTGTATTTTATGGACCTACTTTCTGTTTATATTATGTCATTAAGTCAATGCTTGAAAGCAAAGACAATGCTAGTATACATCATTAAAATATAATTATATTATTTCATAGTCAGGATGTTAATGTGCAACTCAGATGACTGTCAAATTTTTTAACAAAAAAATGAGTTTGAAACATATAAATAGTTTGGTGACTATTTTACAATTTTTAACAGTAAGGAAACTAAACGAAATAGTGCCATATAATCAGAGATCATTTTGTAACTTTTAATAATCGGAGGATTCAACAAAATAACACTCTATAATAAGTGGATCATTTGTAAACTTTTCCCAAAAAATTATTGGTAATATATCAAATATCCACCCTGCATAAAAAAAGAAAATTATCTACCCAAAATATAAGCTCTTAAAATAAATATGCATAATTTCAATGCACATATATATAGATATAGTAGAATGTTTAATTTTTGCTCTAATGCATTAATTATCTACCTCAAACTATAAGCTCCTAAAATAAATATGCATCATTTTTGTTTTATAAAATTACTATTACTATGCTCTTGTGACAGGCTCTCTTCTGCTCTTGTGACACGCTGTTTATTTTCATTTCTATTCATTTTCTATTGAAGCTCTCTCTGGGTGGAATATTTGCAATGGAACAGTCTTTTGCTAATCTATCTCTCTCGATGATGAAGAAGTTGAGTTGCGCATTAAAGTTCCATTTTCAAAGCTAAGAGTATCTTTCGAGGATTGCTTTGTAGGACTTTTCATACTTCCAGTATAATCCATTTCCAATCAATGAGGGCAACACTCTTTATACTCTCAGATTCAGATTTCTTTTTTATTTTATCTTGTTGTGGATGCAGATCGGGCAGAACAGGATGGTCCTTAGAATCTTAACTCCCAACTTCTCATAATCCATCGACTACGGACAGGCGAAGACCCCTTAACAATCTCTCTAAACACGGTTGATTATTGGATGCTGGTCCACTCCCTTTCAGTTGGTTTCATGTCTGAGCATATTGCTAAACAACTGGGTAATTCATGGGAAAAATTTTAGAGTATGATACTCAGGCTGTTTCCTTCGGGTATAAAAGAATTATGAGACTTCGTGTACGTTTAGATATTCACAAGCCTCTAAAGAAGAAAAAAAAGCTTCTTTTATCGGATGGAAACCACTCTTTTGTGACTATTTTGCTTTATCCGTGGAAAGTTGAGGCACGGGGAAAGTTTCTACCTCACCCAAGTTACTTCTCCGACAAAGGACATTCCTTTTTGATGGGACAACTCTCTACGAACACCTTCCCGGAAAAATACCATTCCGACGAGCAGGTGGCTCCGCGATGATGCTGAATCTAACGTGTCCAATCTTGGAAAGATCACATGCGATAATTCAAGGATAAAATTTCCAATCCTACAATCAAGTGTATCTCCTCTCACGAATGATTCATCCCCAAAATTCGTTTCTAATTGAAACAAAAGTTAGAACACGTAGAATGAAAGAATCCGTAGAAGATGTGGTTTTATTAATGGTTTAGATATCGATTCATGTGGTTCTCGGGGTGGTTTATCTTTGGGATGGAATCATGGTATTTCTGTTTCTTTGGGAAGTTACTCCCAATTTTATATTGATGATATTATTTCCACAATTGATGTCTCTAAGAAGTAGAGGTTCACAGGATTTGATGGAAATCCAATTGAATGTAATAGAGGAGATTCCTGAAACCTTTTGCGTCAATTAGGAAGCAATCAATCCTTGCCGTGTCTCGTCATGGGAGATTTTAATGAGATTGTTGTTTCTTCACACTAAAAAGAGGTAGAACTCGCTTTGAAAGAAGTATGACAGCCTTCCATGACACTTTAAATGAAATTGATGGGAACGCCTCGACGGAGGTCTGGCTAATTCCGATTGGTGGGAAATTTCCTGATTTTTCTCTAAAGCATCTTCCCCATACCTTCTCTTATCACTAAATGGACACTGAAGGTAACTTAATACCCAGGGGTCATCGTATTTCACAACCTTTTCGCTTTGATGCTGATTGGTCCCTCGAAGAATATTGTGAAATAATTATTAAATAATTTTGGGATAATGATCACAACCATCTCCCAGACAAATTGAGCCGTTTAGAGACTGCCTTGAGCAAGTGAAACAAGAAGAATAAAAATAAGAGAACTCGCAAAGTCTGTTTCCCTTGATTCTCCATTACATGAGCTAGAGGCAAAAGAACCTAATGAAGATGTGTTGACTGATATTCTGGATGTCAAACTAGCTATTAATCTGGAAGCCGACAAAGACAAAATCCACTGACAATAACGATTGCGTGTCAATTGGCTTCCATACGAAGACTGAAATACGTCCTACTTTCACGAATGTGCATTCTCTTGTAAAAGAAAGATGGCCATAGTTCAAAGGATGGCGTACGTTAAGCCTTCTCTCTCGGTGCATGTTAGCAGGACTAACAGCGATTGAAGACGAGCCATCCTTCCTTTCTTGATTTCTCGATCTTATTGACTCTTTCTTGCTTCTGCTTACGGTTTTTTTAGGGATTTTGATAGGCGATGTCTGCTGGTTCTACTACGGATTGAAGGAAATTGTTTGTGGCGGGTAATGAGCAGGTATTAGAATTTTTTCCTTTGACGGAGATTGAGGGCTCGTTCGTTGTGAAGCCTCCGAAGCAAATATTTGAGGAGGGGATTCTGGAATGGAGGTTTGCTCTAGTTGGGCAATTTATTGGCTCAACTCCTAATTTTGGATTGCTATAGAAGACAATCGAACTGATGTGGAGTAAAACTGCTTCGATGAAGGTGAGCATGGTTGGATCAAACTTATTTATTTTTTCTTTTTCTGGTTTGTCTGCCAGGGACTAGGTTTTAGAGAATGGTCCCTGGCATGTCCAGCACAAACCGCTCTTCCTTAGGAAGTGGGAGCCAAATTTGAAGGAGCTGCACTTCGAATTGGATCGCATGCCAATCTGGATTCAACTTTTTAATGTTCCTCTGGAGGACTCAGCTACATCGCAAGTGCAATCGGTAAGCCTTTACACATGGACTCTATTATAGCTTCTAGGGAGAGACTTGAGTTTGCTAGAGTTTGCATAGAAGTAACTGTAAATTCCAAGATTCCAGATTATATAGATGTGCTGTTGTGTGATGACTCTATTGCCCGAATTATGGTCGTTGTGCCTTGGAGACCTGCGTCTTGTATTGAGTGTGGGAGATTTGGACACTCTGTGAAATTTTATCCTCTGGGGAAGAAACAAGAATGGAGGGTTAAAACTACTGTACAAGAGACAAAATAAGATGATACAATAAATAATAGTGTAGTTGGGATTGAGGGGAAAAATATTGGCCCAGTTATTGAGGGTAACATTCACACTAAGCAGATTACTCTGTGTAATTCTGAAGTGGTTGTAAAAACCTGTCTAGACAAAGCTCGAACTGTTACTGAGGAAGTAGCTAAAAGTGATGCTAAGCAGACTATTCAAGAGGGGCCTTCTGGAAGTAATCCTCCTATGAAGCGTGGGAGAGGTAGGCTAGGTAAAATTGCCATGGGAGGTTTCAAGAACAAATTTAAGGTTCTCAGCTCCATTGATCCTGAAAATTTACAGCATGTTGAGGACCCTGGTAAGAAGCAGCGAGTAGCTTCATTTGGTGTGGCTAAACTGGTTCGGGACTTGAAGTCAAAGAAGAAGGAACAGGTAGATAAAGTAAAGAAAGTTGAGGATATAGGTGGTGCCTCTTCCTCCCTCATTCCCTCATGTTAATTTACTTTTTGAATGTTCGAGGATTCAATAATCCTCGCAAGCAAAGGAAAGTGATGAGATGGGCTACTAACTGCCAAATTGACATTCTCTGTCTGCTGGAAACTAGAGTTAAGGTAGAAAACTCTGTGACTATTTTAAACTGTAGTTTTAGTGACTGGGATACTTGCTGTAACTATAATCACACAGCCAATGGTCGAATTTGGGTGCTTTGGCATAGGAGTTTGAATTGCTCTGTTGTTTTTGTTTTTGATCAAAGTGTTTCAGTTAGAGGTTCATTTGGTGGAAACACTTTTTACTTGACTGCTGTTTATGGCTTGAATGATGGAAATGGCAGAAGGTATTTATGGGAACCAACTTAATTCTTTGCGTTGCACCATGGGGAATCTGCCATGGCTGATAGGTGGTGACTTTAATGTCATCCTAAATCCTGAGGAAAACTCGGTTAGTGTTAGTTCTCCGACCCTGGCTGACATTTCTGATTTTTGGAATTGTGTGGAAAATCTGGGGATTTTTTATCATCCTTACATTGGTCCCCTATTCACATGGTCGAATAAGCAGCATGATGCCTATTTAGCCCGCAAGCTTGATCGTGTTCTGATAAATCCTATATGGATTGATGCTTTTCCTGATTCAGTTGTGGAGTTTCAGGCCTCTGGTGACTCAGACCATTGCCCTGCATTTGTTTGGCTTCACAAGACAACCCATGCTGCTAGGCCTAAACCTTTCAAGTTTTTTTAACTTTTGGGCATTGCACCCTGAGTTTTTGACCACTGTAAGGGAATTTTGGCAGCAACCAATTGATGGAAACCCAACTCATATTTTGTTCCAAAAACTGAAACGGTTGAAATGTTCTCTCAAGGCTTTCAATAGAGTCAATTTCAATGATATTTCGAATAAGGTAACGCAGAAAAGAGATGAACTGTTGAGTATTCAGCTTGCAAATCTTAACTTGGGTTCTGTTGGCATCAACATTAACAGTGAACTCCAAGCTGAGAGAGAGCTGAAATACCTGGAAGAGGCTGAGTTGCTTTTTTACAAGTAAAAAGCCAAAGTTAGTTGGATCAAGGAGGGGAATCAAGGGACTAAATTCTTCCATTCATTGGTGGCTAGCATAATGAAGAGTAGCAAAATTAGAGTCCTCTATGATCAATCTGGTGCTAGATTGGATTCTTTTGATGGTGTATCCAATGAGGTGATTCAGTTCTTTCAGAATCAGTTAAGTTTGGCATATGAGTATGTCCAGGGCAGTAATGTTTCAACTATTAAGGACCTTCTCAATTATTCTCTCCCTGTGGGAGCTGATGATGATCTATGCAGAGATGTGTCTGTTTTTGAAATTAAAGAAGTCATTTGGGGGTAAAGAAATGATAAGTCTATTAGGCCTGATGGTTATAACCCTTACTTCTACAAGAAAGCTTGGTCCATTGTGGGTGGGGACTTTGTTGTTGCTATCAGGTATTACTTTGACATATCATTTATCCTCCCTGCTTTTAATGCCACAGTTGTAGTCCTTATCCCAAAAGTGCCTAACCCTAGCTTAGTCAAGGACTTTAGGCCTATATCCTGTAGCATAGTGATTTATAAGACCATTGCCAGGATTTTATTTAGGCGTTTTTCTTCTTTGTTTCCTAGCATGGTTTTAAAGAACCAAACTGCTTTTGTTAAAGGGATGAGTATTGTGGATAACACCCTCTTTGGACAGCAGGTTGTTAGGGGCTATAGTAGAAAGAACATATCCCCTAGATGTGCCATGAAGTTGGATTTACAAAAGGCTTTTGATTCACTTAACTGTGACTTCTTAGTTGTTGTACTCACTGCTCTAGGCCTTTCTGGAAAATTTATTGGCTAGATCTGTGCTTGTTTTACTAAGCCTAGTTATTCGATTGTAATAAATGGTAGTTTAATTGGTTATTTTAGGGGTGCTTGAGGTGTTAGGCAATGTGATCCTCTTTCACCCTATCTTTTTGTTCTTGCCATGAACGTGTTATCTAGTCTTTTGAACTTGGATGCTCTCAAGGGGATCTTTAAATTTCACCCCAAGTGTAAAAGGATTGGCTTAACTCTTCTCTGTTTCGCAGATGATCTTCTTATCTTTTGCAAACCCTCAATTGATTCCATTAGTAGTGTCCAAGTTGTGCTGGATGTTTTTTATTCTATGTCGGGGTTGAAACTTAATGTTAGCAAAAGTGAGATTTTTATAGCTGGGTTAACTGCTACTCAATGCAATAATATTAGTGAGATCACTGGATTTAAATTAGGTAAACTCCATGTTCGATACTTGGGGATTTCTCTGGTGACCAAAAAACTCACGGAGAGGGATTGTCTAAGTCTCATTCATAAAATCAGAGCAAGGCTGAATCTGTGGGTTAACAAACACTTGAGTTTTGTTGGCAGGCTGCAGTTAGTGCGTGCTATCTTGTTTAGCTTAACCAACTACTGGTGCAGACAGTTTATGCTTCCTCTTGGGGTGATCAAGAAAGTTGAGCAGTTGTGCTCTCGCTACTTCTCGAAGGGAGCTGATCTGCCCACCAAGGGAGCTCGGGTGAGCTGGAGGCAGATCTGTTTACCAAAGTTTGAAGGGGGCCTTGGTGTTATTGATATCCTTAGCTGGAACAGGGCTTGTTCTGTGAAATTGATTAGGAGCTTATTGGCAGAGGAGGGCTCCTTATGGGTGGCTTGGACTCGTTCCTATGTAATCAAAAATTCAGATTTTTGGCAGATGAATCCACCTACAAATGCTAGCTGGTGTTTCAAGAAGTTAAAAATAAGGCCTACTGTCTGTCGCCTATTTGTTGATCGAGGAAATGAACTCAGCATGAGGCAGATTTGGGAGGACATGCGCACCATGGCCCCCAAGTTTGTATGGCATCACATGGTTTAGTTTTTCGGGCGTATTCCTAAGCACATCATAATCTTGTGGATGACTATCTTGGATAGGCTCCCTACCCGGGTGAGATTGCTGCGAATGGGCATAGTCATTGAGAATGATATGTGTCTTTTTTGTGATTTGGTGCCTGAGACTAGGAGCCATATTTTCTTCGAATGTGATTATGCTAAAATCTATCGAAGGTTAGCCTTTTACTTTGTGGTGTTAACCGTGAAGTAAGCCACTGGGATGGTGAGTTATCATGGGTTGCTCACTGCTTTAAAGGAAAATCCCTCATTACGAGAGTGTTTAAGCTTGCATTGACGAGCTACGTGTATGCCATCTGGAAAGAAAGGAATAACAGGTTGTAGGTGGAATGGCTAAACCGATGAATGCTATCTTGGAGGACATTAAAGATGATATTCAGATTCGGTTGGATGGTTGACCTATTAACAGAATTGACTTTAGGAACGCTACCCTCTGTGATAGTTGGGGTATTTCATAGTTGTGGATTCTTTACTCCTCTGTTTCTTTGTAGTCTTTTGCTTTAATCGGGTGGTAGTTCTATTTTATTTTACTGATTCACAGAGATCTCCCAGCTAGCGTGTGACACTGTTTGTAAGGATTGGTATTCTTGTAGCATATTTCTGCTTTCTTGGGTAATGAAATTGATTGTCCAAAAAAAGGATTGCCATAGTTATTGGTGTTTTATGGGCAATTGTTCACTCCTCAATAATAATGGAATCCTTGAGAATTATTGAATCTGGATTTAAATCCGAGGAAGTCATTGAAGCGGTAAAAGGAGTGACTCCTTTAAAGGCGTCTGGAAAAGATGAATTTCCAGCATTTTTCTTTCATAAGTATTGGCATGTGATAGGGCGTGAGGTTACAAGCTTATGTTTAGAAGCGTTGAATGGAACTCTTGATATGACTCCTATAAAGGGGACAAATATTGTTCTCAACCTTAGGTTCTTAATCCATGCACTATGTCCTAGTTTTAGCCAATAAGTCTATGCAACATTTGATATAAAATTGTCGCCAAAGTGATAGCCAATAGACTTTGAGTTGGACTGGAAGCTTACATTGACGAAGTCCAATGAGCCTTTCTTCAAGGTCGACAAATCACTGATAACATTCTCATAGCTTATGAATATTTGTACTCTTTGAAAAAGAAGAAATTTGGAAGATATGGGTCTTTTGCCTTAAAACATAATTTGAGCAAGGCATATGATCGTGTTGAATAGCTATTTATTAAGAAAATGAAGCTGAGATTGGGATTTCCTGTCTGATTCGTTGCTCTTGTGATGTCTTGTGTGAGAACTGTCTCTTACTCTGTTATTTTAAACGACAATGTTGGTTATTCTTTTACTCTGAATCGTGGTATTCGTCAACGTCATCATATCAGCCATTATTTATTTCTTATTTGTGATGAATGTTTCTCTAATCTCCTAAACTCAACTAAAGAAATTCAAGAAATTCTAAAGTCATTTAGCTTATTCTCCAGACTTCTTTAGAGCTACAAACTCTAATTTTATCATAAATCTGGTTATATCAATTTTCTTGAGGATTTTTGTGACATGAATCCTCTTTTCAATGTGAAACACATTCATTTGTGCCTTTGATATCTTAAACATTTTATATTCAACTAGCATCGGAGTATTCTTATGGAATAATGCAATCTATAATCTTGAGTATATCTAAGATATCTCAATTCTCTCACGATCCACCGATTTGAGATTTATTTTCATTTCCTTTGATATTGAGATCATTATCTTTACAAGACACCCCACATTTTTAAGTAATTGTAGAAAAGTTTTCTAGCTTTCTATAACTCATACTTGTCATTTTCCTTTTCGGAGAACCTTATTTAAAAGTTAATTAGCTGAAAAATAATTTCCCCACATGTTCTGTGATAACCCAGAAGTTCTTAGCATTATATTTATCATTTTATTTTAATATTTAATTCTTCCGCTTTGCTACTCCATTTAATTTAGGAGAATATGATGGTGTCACTTTATCAATAATATCACAATATTGACAATTAATGGATCAACTTATTCACTATCATAATCATTTTTACCTTCTTAATGTTTTCATTAAGCTGGTTTTCAACTTTGGGTTTATAGAGAAGAAATTTCTCTATAGCTTCAGTTTTGCTCCTTAGTAAATATATGTCAATACTTTTTACTATCATTAATGAAGATAATAAAATATTTTTTTTGTAAAAGTAGATCAAATAACCCAATTAAAACGTCAAAATTAAACTTCTAAAACAAATTTTTCTTTCAAGATCTCACTTTACAAATATACTAAGATTTTCAAAAAAAATAAATTTAACAATTTATTTCTTTCTCACAAAAAAATCATACTTGATTATCAAGAAAATAAATTTATTAATTTATTAATTTTTAAAGTATAATTATAATTAATTTTCCAAAAAAATTTAATGATTTATTTTCTTTTACAAAAAATAAAATAAAAATAAATCCAACGATTTATTTTCTTTTACAACCCATAATCGTATAAGATTATCAAGAAAATAAATTTGATAATTTATTTACTTATACAAATCCTGAAAATATATCAAATGATTTATTTCCTTTTACAAACCAAAATCATTTGAGATTCTTAGGAAAATAAATTCAATAATTTATTTTCTTTTACAAAATAGTGAAATAAATAGTGAAAAATAAATCCAATGATTTATTTCCTTTTACAAAATAGGAAACTAAATTCAACGATTTTTTTCCTTTTTTAAAATAAGAAAATAAATTCAATGATTTATTTCCTTTCATAAAACAGGAAAATAAATCCAACAACAACAACAACAAAACCCTATTCCCATAAGCAATGGGGTAAGGGGGTAAGGGGGAGGTAGGGTAGTAGGCTGCCCCCAATGCCCGGTTGAGAACAACTTCCGTAGAAGACCTCCGGCAGTCAGAAAAATTAAAAAATAAAGATAAAAATCCAATGCATGTATAAATAAATAAATTAATAAATACATAGTTGAACAGTCATCATATGCAGTTTTCATACGTGCGTCTGTAATGGGAAGTAATCCCTGCAAATAAGTCTCTGTGTAAAAATCTCTGCATATAGACAGTAACGTAATTCCCGGCTAAATTTAGAAAGAGAAAACATGAAGAGAATGATACACAGAAGTCATCGATAGTAAG